ATCCTTGTGTTGACTTGCAATCAGTGCCTTGAATTCATCCCTCAGATCAATGTCTTTAAAATTGTCTGTAAGAGGTAAATTTTCAAAGTGATGCAGAGATTTAATCCCCTGGTTCCCATTACTGTAAGAGCTGTGGATCCACGTCCCCTTGCAGCCTACCTAAAACATACCCCCTGGTGTCTCAGAGTGCCAATTAAATAATAAAAACCAAAACCGTGGCCAGATGGAATTAGTTTGAGAACAGAGTTTATAATTTTCCTCATGCCAAGCAAACAAGTTAACCCCTTTGGTGACATACACAGAATAATCTGGACAAAGGGATCACAAATCTTAACTCTGAACATTTCTATTGCTATTTGCCAGAGGTTGTAATATTGAAAAACTGTGCTCCTCTGAGAATGGGAAAACCAAATAAACTCTGGCTCCAAATTGTTGGAAGTGCAGTTTATGTGATCAGGTTCTTTCCCTCTCCCACCTTTCATTTAAGAAAAAATGTGTCTTAAGACTTCAATGGATCCAGGTTTCTTTTTACAGTGTTACTTCTTAAAAATTTGATTGTGATAGGACAGATTTCAGCTGTGTAGCAGGCAAAGCTGCAAGACAGACTGTTCTTGAAAGACTGCTGGGCGTGTCTTAGGCCAAACCAGCTCTGAAAAGGGTACGAAGCTCAGTGGTTCCAGAAGCAAGCCAAGCCCAGCCCCCTCGTCCTGGCCATCTGTGGGATGAAGCGTTCTTCATGGTGACCCAGAGTCAGGGTTCTTCCTCGTGCCTCTGCTTGGTTAATGAGGACACGGCTGAACCACCCATCAGGAAACAAAACCTTTCTGCCCTCTTCTCCTTAGATATGTGTGAACTAAGATGGTATAGTGGGAAAAAGATGGAGAAGAAAAAGGGGAGGGAGATAAGGCTTAAAATGAGGTCAACAAAACAAAGGAGGATGTATGTCAAGCAACTAGAGATAACATTTCTATCTACTTTAGTTCAAGGTTCCCTTCGTTCACTCAACCAGATATTGCAAACATGATTCCACCATGTGCCTGGCACACAACTGAGAGAATTAAGTTGTGACCTTGAAGAACATTGAACAAGTATCCCAGGGCCACTGAACGGAAATGAACTTTCTGTTGTCTTAGGATGAACTTCTCCAGCTTCCTGTTCAGACTTCTCTGGGACACGGGAGAGGGTCTGTGTGTGTACCAGGAAATGTGTAAAACCAGTAGGAAAATCTGGTTATCATGAAGAGAAACACACTTTTTCTCCATGAAAAATATCAGACTTAACGATAATCTGTGGTAGCTACGTTGAAAACATTCATGAAATAAAAAGGTTGCTTCTAAAGAGATCTTGAACTGGGAATCAGAATACTGACTTGAACGCATTTTGATTCTAAAGTCTCCTTGTAAAAATATTCACAAAAACTGGTGGACATTTTTTACGTACAACTCCATTTCTCTCATTTACAACGTAAGTCATTTAATGTAACGTTTACGACCTTAGAAAGGCAGACATATTTAATCCAAGTCCATTTATAAATTCCAATTTCACATGGATTAAAAACTGCAGATAAATTAAGTCACAATAATATCCTGTACATGCATTAAGGCTGGTGACTGCTAAAGTCTCTTGCTATCTACAAACAGGAAATCACACGCAGATTATTGGGTCTGAAGAGTGTCTATGTCATTAAAAAAATCTTGCTTTTTTTTTTTTTGGTGATACAGATTTCAACAGTAACTCTGGAAAACTGTGAAAAATGTTATTTAAAAATATATATGTATATACTACTGCACAGTTTCAAAGATGTGATTCATAAATAATGTTTGCTGCACTAATTTTATAACAATTACTGTACTTCCAAGGTGATGGGAACACGCAGGACTTATACTCAATATTAGGCACTAGTAATATCCTTCAGGCGTACTACAGTTTTATGTTAGCTGTATTGTACATATATATTTTTAAATGTATGCGTTTATACAAACTGTGTATATTATGTATGGGGTGTCAGAAATGTACACGTCACTGTTATATAATACACACAACATTGTTGTACAGATTAGGGTAAGTTTTAGTGCAGAGAGTCTTGCTGCATTGCATTCCACGTGTTCAATCTAGTACACAATTTGTCAACTCTTCAGATTGTTTTTTCCAGTACGTTCCTTTTTAGATAGTGTGTCCAAGTTTCCATCTGCAACTTGAAAGTTTCCAAAAATGTCTGTTTCAACCAAACCTTTCTCTCCAGGCACCCTTCTGCAGGAGTCTGGTCTGCATAGAGCAGTAACAAATGCCAATTTTTAATCAGGAATCTATCTGGGCTATTCTCTCTCAAAGATAATTTAACATTGTGATAAAGGATGGCACCCATTCAGGTCATGGAGGGATAAGGTCAGTTGAACTTGGGTTGAATGTCTGAGGAAAGAATATGTCTTCAAACAGAAAGAAGTGGTAATGAATGTCACGCTTAAATTCTAGAGTCTCTGGGAGGATCCACACCCAACGGTGAGCAGTGGTTGTTTTAGGGGGGATGGGCAACCAGGGACTTACATTTTCTCCATCTCTGTATGTTTTGAATTTTTACAATGAGCAGGTATTACTATTATAATCTGAAGACACACGAAAGATATTTCAACTTGGAACAGAACTAAATAAAAGGAACACGTTATGAATGACTTTCATAGACAACAATGAGCAGATGGTTTTAGCAAAATCATTTATGCCAAACCCAACAGAGACTGCTGCCCTGACATGCTGAATAGATGAAAATGACAGATACTGGGAGGAACTGCATGCTCCAACCATCCTCCCCAATGACCAGTTTCAAAAAGTTTTGGTGGGGAACGTGGGCCATCAGAGTGCTGATAAAATGCTACTGGTATGACCAGCCAGAAGCCAGCTGTGAAATGGGACTTCCCAGGGAAGCGTATCACCTGGATGCCACAATTAAGCTCGGAACTTTAAAGATGGGCAAGACCAGAACAGCTTCCTGGGGGGTGCAAAACAGGACTGAGGTTCATCCCTTTATGTGAGGGTTTCAATATTTCTTCAGAACTTACCAAGCCTAAGTAGAATGAAGTCTTAGTCCTGCCAAAAAAAAAAAAGACTCAAAATTTCTTAGGTTTGAATTTCCAGTATAGGATGGGATCATGAACTCTGCTGACAATTAGTGAAAGAGATGCAACAAGCACTTCAGTTGGATAAATTAAAAATGGAAATATTTGGAAGTATTTTCAAATGCTTAAAGGCTGAAGCCAAATGCAAATTTTATAAGCCCTCCACTTTTTCATTTTCAATTAACTTTAAATCACCAAAGTTGTTTGATCATTTGTACAGTTTTAAATCAGTGCTCCGAGTTAGGGAATTACAGCAAACTTATTTTCCACCCACAGACGGAGATGAAAAACTGTTAACAGTGGAACCCAACCTGTGAGAGTATCAGTGAAAGCATCTACTGTAAATATCCCACCATCACCTTGAAAAAATGGATGGCTCCATACATTGCATCATCCATCTTTCTCAGACCATCCTGGTGCAATCCTGTCAAGTAAGAGGCCTCAAGGACATGGCAAGATACACCTTTTTGTTCCTGGAATCATTTTCCTTTTACCAATATTTCATAGCCAAATACATTTAACAAAAATACTAAATCTAGGGCATGATACAACACTATAAAAGAAACAAACTTCAGACAAAAACTGTAAACGAGATGTCAAAAAACTAAAATGTAAACTTAGTTAAAAAAAAAAAGAAAAGCAAAGCTATGAGGAAGATGTAAACATACCAGACGTATAAGATACAAGTAAGATGCTCTGATTGTTGCTACCCCCAAAGAAATTGTGATCATTGCAGGAGAAACTTCCTCTGGATTGTAAGCAGCTTAATAACCAAAGCCTGAAAAGTACACCCCAGATCAAAATGCATGGAAGGCCTGCACTGGCACATTCTGGGTGAAGGGTGGGAGACTCAGACAGCATTACGATAGCGAATAGATCTTAGCCTGATAAGCAAAAGATACAGACTCCCAGGGAAGGGACATTCTAGGTAATGTCCGCCTTTGGCCAAGAAAACTTGTAAGAAAGCTATTATAGAAAAAGACTTGAAACATATTGTCTGACAAATGCCACGTGGCCCTGCAGCCACCAAGTCACAGTGGCAGGAGGAAGAAATGCATGTGCCCAGTGGGCTTGTCACAGGTGCAGAAGAATTAATTCAATTCCTAACTGAGCTCCAAAACACAGTCATCACTGCTTTAATGTCTGTTAACTTTCAAAGATGCTGAATTTTTTTTTTTTTAAACCAAATCTCAATGCTATTTTCCTACTATTTGGGGATACGGCAGGCAAGGCCTGGGGGAACTGATCCATTTGCTTGTAATGTGTTTCATTGGTAATAAAGTCAGATGAGGGGAACGTATCAGAGGAAGGGCAGGGTATTTGGTAACATGCAATCTAGTAAACTTCTGGCACAAAAATAACTGACTTATTTTTGTTATTCAATTACCCATTAATACGTACCAATCAAAAATAGTTGGGGCACAGTATATTAACACTGAAAGTAATCCATAATATAAGACCTAGATTCATCGTAACTGGCAGTCAAGCTTTGGGTGTGCTGTATTGCACCTGGTTAACTAACCCACAAGATTTTGGTTGAATTTTTTAAGAAGTCATGATTTAGCATTAGCATGGAAAGTGTGTGTCTGTGACTGTGTGTGTATGTGTGCGTGTGTACTTCTCTAATCAGGAACCTCTGATCACTTTGTGTAGCCTTGAAAACTAGACAAAGAGAGTGTGTTCTGAAGAGCTGTGTCTGACACAGAGGTGGCTTATCACACACGCACACATACAAACACACACGCTCTGGGAAAAGACCACTGTTCGATGCTCAGGGAATGTTCACTGGAGTTTGTAGATGCTGTGGCCAGGAACTTCAGTAGCACAGTGTCCAGAAACGTGGAGCCGTGTGTGGAGACCAGAGCATGAGCCGGCTCAGGGGAGAGGTCCCTAGGACAGGTGGGTGCTGTTCCGCAGCCAGTGCAGGCCCTGCTGGGAGTACTGGACCAGGTGCTCCATGCTGCTGTGCAGGGTGACGGGGCCCATCAGCAGATCCAGGTCATTGAAGAATTCTAGGGGACGGAGAGGGTTGTTAAGAATGACACACGTGTTAGGTGTGCTATCCACTACCCTGGTAACCTGAGTGACTTAAGGAAAAATTCCATTCACAGTCTCTATTAAAATCTAGGATTCTCTATTCCATCATATGACTGTAGCATTGCCTTGAGCCAAATAAAATCCAAGGGTGGAGAACTCACCCTATATCCAAATAAATAAATATGTTATATTTGCCATTTCTAATTCAAATGAATAGCATTTGCTTAGCACAGCAAAGAAAATCCGTATCTTCAGACTACACTCTCCTAGTGCAGTAAGGCTTCCCACTCTGTACGTCAAGGTGGCAGTGTCGTCCCTTATCCTGTACTTAAATCTGCCATGCGCCGAACCCCTGGACTGAATCCAAGGGGTGAAGCTCCAGGCTCCCAGGACAAATCAAAGATGGGTCCTGGGACATGTGTACGGAAGTCACCTTTAGCTTTTGGACATTTTCTGGGTTTGTCCTTTCATTAAACATTTTTTATGTCCCAGGGCACTCTGCTAGGTGCAGCAGGTTAGAGATTGCAGAGGATACCAAGGTGAATCATGGGTGGGCTCTGCTCTCCTCAAAAAGATCACAGTGTAGTGGCTGACAGAGACAAATTCATGTGACTGCTCTTTTAACATGGGTCATCGCTGAGCAATGCTCCTTGGAAGCAGGTGTTTGGGAGAAGTTTCTCACAGGTGCTCACATACAGGCTGAGGAAGTCCTGCTGAGGGACGGGAAATGCAGGGAAAACTCCGGGTTGCAAGTGGCTAGGAGCTTGGCTGCAGCAGGCATTCAGGAGCAGAAAAGAGGAAGAGTCAGTCTGGGTGGGGGAACAATGCCAAGTCTGCACAGGACACCTGGCACGGAGCCCTCTGGTAGGAGGCATCCCTCAGGCAGCTAGCAGTGCCATCTGGAGCATGGCCTGCTCGGGGGTCTCCAAACTGCACACATGTATTTCTAGGCTTTGTCCTTTCTGTCTGTCCATCTGTGACACTTATTCCACTCCATCTCGGCCACTCAACTGGTTGGTGATTTTCAAAACCCTGTTCCATACCAGCTCTTCCAGGGAGCTTCTCCTGGAGCTCTGAGGTCCAGGGCATTCCCACTGGACTTTCTGGGTGCACCAGCTCCAGGCTGCATGTTATGTGCCTCCTGGTTCTATTAACAACTCACGCCCTCAGGACTCACCTGTGCCATGCATTCCTCATCTCATTTTGGACGTCCTGTGTGGGGAGGCCTATGCTATCTCTGGGATATAATTTGCATTTAATGGCCTGAAAGTGAGCTCAGATTTGGACTCTCAGCTGTTGCTGGAGGGATAGTAGTAATGAGTATAATCTTTGAGGAGAAAACTTAACATTATCTATCACGATGTATAACAATTCATACCTTAAAAGAATCCCACTTTCTGCCTCCCAAATTATTCTACTTCTGCAACTCCCTTCAGAAACACAAACGATGATTTATATAGGAGCATTTATCCCAACATTAATTGTCACAGAGGATAAAAACTGGAAGTGACCTAAATTTCTAGCACTGGGGAAATGGTTTGAGAAATCGTGATGCTTTATGACTATATCATCACTGGATTATGCTAGTATTGTACTATCAAGACACTGTAATGGGTACTTTTGAACTAGTTAGTGTCGTGAGAAAATGTCTGATACAACAGCAAACGAGAAAAGGACATAAAGCTCTATCCAGCACACACTACGATCTTATTCTGGAAAAATAGTGAATATTGGCAGAAGAAAGAGCAGAGGAACTTTGGTAGAATGTTAACACTAGTTATTTCTTGGTAATGAGATTACTGATGATTTAAAAACTCTGTTCCCTATAGTTTCTGTACTTTGCAAATGTAGCCACAGTAAGCATGGATTGCTTTGATAATTAAGTGAAAACAAACACTACTTAAAAAAGCAGCACACCTCACTGGTGCATGTAAAACCCTCTCTTTCAGGGTAAGTAGCTGACACTTAAAGAGCTAGTAATATTGTCCTCCATTCCTTAGTTCAAAGTTTCAGGGCCCCAGCTGTGTTCCAGGCACTGGGCTGGGCCTACAAACACACGTTGGAAGGAAATAATTCCTCCGTTTTAGAAGCTCACTGTCTGCAGGGAAACACACGTGTGTACCTGCAGCTGCCTCACGTGGGCCTGGGCAGGGGGCAGGTGAGGAGGCCCCAGCCAGGGGAGAGGTTGTGAAGGTTTTCCACAGCCGCTGATGGCCCCCACTGTTTCCCCTCAGACACACTCTGAGAACTGGGGCTGCGGGAGGGGCACACACCTCGGTTCTCCTTGGCCAGGTTGTCGGCCATCTCCCAGTAGTCGTAGCTGTGCAGGATGCTGTTGGTGATGCTGACGTGGTTGGCCGCCATCTGGTGGATGCGCTGCGGAATGCTGACGATGGTCGACGGGGACAGGGCACTGGCGCTGGAGAGGCTGCCCTGAGACCCCACGGAGCTGGTGGGAGAGGGGTTGGGAGACATGGGGGATGGGGTTCCAGTGCTCCTGGAAGGGGAGAGGCAGAGAAACCAGAGTGGCGAGGTTGGGAGCAGGTGAGGCGGGGTGGCCCTCAGGGCACTGAAAGCAAAGCGGTGCCGGCAGCATGCATTGTCTGGCTTACGGCATTTACTTTGGAAAAGTGAACTTACTTTCCACTGGCCCCCCACGGAGATGGGGCTTGGGCAGCTTTAGACGAATTCTGCAGGAAAATAAAAACATTGACAGTGAGTGCCATCTGCTTAAGGCTAAGTGGCAGACAATAACATGTTCTCAGGTGACTGTGGAGAGAAGGAAGGGCAGACTCTGCAGACAAAATGCAGCTTCAGAGAAACTGGATCTGGGAAGTTCCCATCACAAGGCTATCTGCTTCCTCTCTGTAAGCTTGTCTGGGGCAGCTGCACAGCCCAGGTCGGGGGCGGGGGGTGGGTGGGCAGGGATGGGTCACACAGTGGGCTAAAAGGAAGGGCTTGTCCCATAGCTTGGGATTTTTTATGTACAAATTTTAGGTTCCAAACTAAACCATAATGCCAAGGGTTCATTAAGTTCTGAACCAGCCTAACTTTTCCATTGTAAATAATACAATTTTTTAAAAAGGAAAAAGGTAAAAAACTCTCTCATTCCCTTACCCCCCTTGACGCCTTATAATTTAAAAGGATGTATTTGCAGAAACTGTTGACATATATTTACTTAATACCTGAAAATATATAAAACATTGAATACTATTATTTTAATTTATGAAGTTGAAAAGCATTTCTCTTAAAGGGGAAGTTGCTCTTGCATATCCCCCAAACAGTAAAGTTTGTTTCCTGAACAGACAGGATATTAAAAAATTCTGGTTTATCTGAACATTCTGATTTAGGATGTTATGTTGTGTGAAGGTACTGGCATCAAGCATTTGAGAGACGTTTGAATGCATGTCTTTAGCAAGGGAAGTTGCTAAATATGCAGTTCGGAGCAGTTAGGGTTCCTCTCTGAGAGCTCAGTAACACTTTCTTGGACAGAAGTCCGTTAAGGAAAGAGATGGTCTTTGTGATGCTGATGGAAATTTTCCCTTACCCAGACAAGAAAATAGCCTCTGCCTGGCTCCCCAGAGACAACGTGTTTCTTTTGGTTAGAAAGAACTTTATGAAGTGGTGGCTGATTTTTCTAGTTTTGGTGCAGGTGTTATTAACATGGCAAGAAACGGCCTGCCAGAGCTCAGAGGCCCGACAGCAGCAGCAAAGTGTCCATGTAAGGACAGAATTGCAAACCATGCCACTTTTACTTGTCTCAGGGAATGGAAGTGCTTTCATGGAGACAATTAGAAAAAGAAAACCTTCCTTACTAGGGGAGCTGATCTTCCCTCTCCTGACAGATGCTGGTGACCCCTTTCTCAACCTGGCCTTACTATACGGAGCACTTGGTTTCTACTTCATCATGGGGTTCTAGGAATGTGGTCAACAGAACAGATACTCTGAATGTAAAAACACTAAGGCAGAGGGAGAGAGATTTGGGGGTTGCAGAAACAGTTCAGTTAAAGAAGATGAAGGGAGAGAGAAGTCTTCCAGCCTCCTCCCCTCCCACTAAGGAGAGGGGATGAATGAGAAACACTGGTGGGAACAAAGTCTATTTTTCAAAGATAGCTCTGTACCGATTTGCCAAATTATCTTTGGGACCCAAAGTTTTCATAGTCTCTGAAACTTTAAGATGTATGTATGTACATTTATGTACTTATTTATTTAGAGCAGGGCTCTACTCTATTATCTAGTCTAGAGGGAAATGAGGTGATCATAGCTCACTGCAGCCCCAAACTCCTGGCACAAGTTATCCAGCTAAGCTTCCTGAGTAGCTGGGACTACAGGAGTGTGGTACCATGCCCAGTTAACTTTACATTTTTTTGTAGAGATGGGGTCTTGCTATGTTGCCCAGACTGGTCTTGAATTCCTGGCTTCCTAAACTGCTGGGATTACAGGTGTAAGCCACCATGCCCTGATTTAGGTAGCATTTAAATAGCCTTTGAAACTTTGTGCCCCCCCCCTTTAAGGTACAAAGTTTCAGTTAGCAGGAATAAATTCTAGACATCTATTGTATGCCATGGTGGCTATGATTAATAATAATGAATTGTATATTTAAGAATCTTTAAGAGTTGATTGTAAATGTTCCCATCACAAAAATAAATATGTAGGGTGATAGATATGCTTGCAACCTTGAAAATCACATTGTATGCCATAAATATATACAATTTGTCATTGGTAAATTAATGTATTAAAAAAATAGTCTTTGATTAAGGATAACTGTCACTAACTCCTGGAAGGGAATCTGATTTTTAGGTTGTATTCTCTATCCATTCTGTGAGTATTTGGGGTTGCATATGTACATTAAGAACTTCTTGTTATAATCCTGTACAGAATTAAGCTTCCTTCTTTGTCTCAAAAAAAAAGGTTTTACTATGTCATCCTTGGTAGAGTGCCATGATGTCACAGCTCACAGAAACCTCAAACTCTTGGGTTCAAGAGATTCCCTTGCCTCAGCTTCCTGAGTAGCTGGGACTACAGATGCCTGCCACAACACTCGGCTATTTTTTGGTTGCAATATGTTGTTTAGCAGGACCCAGCTGGGCTTGAACCTGCCAGCCTCGGTGTGTGTGGCCAGCGCCCTACTGACTGAGCTACGGGTGCCCAGCCTGAGCTTCCGTCTTTATTGAAGCATTTTTCTTTTCTTTTCTTTTTGAAGCTGCCACGAGGGCCAAGGGAAGCCTCAGATTCAGATTACTGCACCCAGTACACCCGCGGGGTCTCACCACCAAGGGCAGTCCCATGGCACCCAGAGAGACAGGCTGGCCTTTGGTGACTCTGGTGTGCCTCACAGGGCCCCATTTTTCTTGATTATAACAATACTGCAAACTACTGAACTTGACTTTAGGTGCCCAAAGGAAGGAAAGGCTCAGTGTCAGTTGTCATTAGGACACATGATGACTGAGGGCCCGAGAGTACATACTGGTTACTCTACATGCACAGTTAGGAAGGAGGCAGTACGTTGGACACAGCCCAAGGGACCCCCAACGTGGCCTAGTCATTACAGATAATCTCTAAGAAGTGAAGGTGGGGGATTAAAGGATCTTAAATGACAGTTGTGTATCTGACAAGGTTGGTGGCAGAAGAGATGGTGTAATTTGTATTTCCTATAAATAAATAGACAAAGAAGAGGTCTGAAAATCTCAAATGAATTATTAAGTTAAGGTTGGCTCCACAGTAGTATATCAGAGAAGGGTTTTTTTTTTTTGGAGACAGAGTCGCACTATGTGACCCTCAGTAGAGTGCCATGGTGTCACAGCTCACAGCAACCTCACATTCTTGGGCTCAAGTGATTCTCTTGCCTCAGCCTCCTGAGTAGCTGGGACTACAGGTGCCCGCCACAATGCCTGGCTATTATTTGTTGCTGTTGTCATTGTTGTTTAGTTGGCCCAGGCTGGGTTCCAACCTGCCAGCCTTGGTGTATGTGGCTGGTGCCATAAACATTGTGCTATGGGCACTGAGCCCTATTTTTTGTTGTTGTTGTTGTAGCTGCCATTGTTGTTTGGCAGGCCTGGGCTTGGTTTGAACCCATCAGCTCTGATGTATGAGGCTGGTGCCCTAGCCGCTGAGCTACAGGCGCTGAGCCTCAGAGGTTTAGAAAAAAAATTATTCTCCCAGTGAAAATAATTTCATACCCTGAGGTAAGTAAAGGCTGCCCAGTGTGTGATTTTATCCTTCTAGTTACACATAGCTATCTAGTGCCTTGGAGTTCTAACAAACTATATTTCACTATTTTAAATAATATCTTGATTAAAAATTAAATTAGCTACTAGAGACTAGCTAAGAGGAAACAGCCCTAAGTCGTTACTTCTAAGGGGAAGAAGCTCTAACTGAACATGAAGAATTTATATTAGCTATAAAGATGAATTTCCTAGGACACTGGAATGACTAACTGGATCTTCTTTCTCCTGAGGCTATAAAAATACAGGGTGGCGGGGGGTGGGGGGGGATAAATTAAATGGGCTCTCAAGGCCCAGTCTCTGAGCCCTGAAAGCCACAAGTATGTCATAAATGGAGTATGTCTACAGACCACAGGTGACTTGTATCAGCCCTAAAGCAACAGTTCTATCAGCCTTGTTCAACTAAATACCAGCAACAATGTTCCTCATTCACCAGACAGTACCTTGAAATAGTCGATGAGTGCTTTTGAGTACTTTACAGCATGGTCCCTTTTGAGTCGAAACATCCGCCAGTACAGGAGAGCCAGGCATCGGTAACTGCAGCAAGAAGAAGAGGAACAGGCCCCAAAGAGTAAGTGTGTGTCCTTCACAAACAGGACTCAAAAACAAAAAATCTGTCCAAGGCACTAAATATTCACATCATGTTTTTGTATCCAAAATATTTCCATATGTACATTTACGGTTATGGGTATCTGACCTTCATATTTTCCAAATAATGTAATTCAAAATTCCAAGAAGTATCTATAAATATATTAACCACGAGATGATTCCATAGCATTAGTTTTATCACTACTGTGTTGGGGAACTGGGGCTGGCCGCTTCCTCCTTCCACCACTAGAGGGAAATCTTTCCCCATAAGATGTTTGAGGAAGCTCTAGCACACAGCTTCTGCAGCTTCCTGGGTGAGCAGTGGACTTTACAGAAAATAAGACCCCTTCCACCTGTTACTATTGAACTTTCAAACCAAATAAAGTAACAACAGTGGATATACTTTATAAACAATAAAAATATAATTTGGAGGGTGGTGCCCGTATCTTAGTGGGTGGGGTGCAGGCCACATATACCAAGGTTGGCGGGTTCAAACCTGGCCTGGGCCAGCTAAACAACAATGACAACTGCAATAACAACAACAACAACAAAAACAAGACAAACAAACATACCAAATAGCCAGGTGCTGTAGTAGGCACCTGTAGTCCCAGCTACTTGGGAGGCTGAGGCAAGAGAATTAAGCCCAAGAGTTTGAGGTTGCTATGAGCTGTGACACCACAGTACTCTACCCAGGGTGACAGCGTGAGACTCTCTCTCAAAAACAAAAACAAAAACAAACAAACAAAAACCATAATATGGAGAGAAGTTATCCTTTTATTATTTTCTGTAGTATTTTTATATTTATATATTAGCACTCTATCTTATACAATAACTTTAATTTTTCTTTTTTTTGAGACAGAGTCTCACTATATTGCCCCAGTAGGGTGCCATGGAGTCACAGCTCACAGCAACCTCAAACTCTGGGGCTTAAACGATTCTCTTGCCTCAGCCTCCCAAGTAGCTGGGACTACAGGTGCCCACCACAATGCCCAGCTATTTTTTGTTGCAGTTGTTGTTGTTTAGCTGGCCTGGGCTGAGCTCGAACCCACCAGCCTTGGTGCATGTGGCTGGCACTGTAACCAGTGCTATGCTATGGGCGTCGATCCAACATTTGTTAATTGTCACTATTTATTATCCTAACGTGGAACTTAAAGTGTGAAAAGAGCACAGAAAGCATTTCCTGCGACTTATCCTCTCTTCCTGGACACTCTTCATTCATGTTATAACAATTCACTGATGCAGATCTGGTGTCGACAACTAGAACACCAGCGTACCAAGTGAAACTTTTTTTTTTTGGCCAGGGCTGGAGTTTGACCTCTGGGGCTGGCAGTGCCCTACTCCTTTGAGCCACAGGTGCTGCCCCCAAGTAAAACTAATAGGCTCCTCTCAGCACACCAAGCTCAAGATGACATGATGTGAAACAACATGAGACCTCTTTTGTGCAAGTAGCAACCATGTTTTTTGAAATTATTAGATTCTCTTAACTTGCAGATCCAGTTCTATGAACCTTAAGAGAACAAAAAGTTCTGGATCCCTTTTACACAAGGGACCAACAGGGAAGTATCCTGGGATTTTGGAAGTGAAGTGAGATGTCCTGGGAAGATCCCAGGAGTAAAATTATTATCATTATTATAATCATACAATCATTATCATTGTAATCATTATAAATAGAGAGAAAACCTATTATCTATTGGTTAACATTTTGAAAATAAAAAAGATTTTATTATCAAAGTACAGTAATGTGCTGAGAACTTTAATGTGCCATCTTGCTTCAGTCCTACTAGTCCAATGTATAAAGCAAGATAGGAATTATTTTGGTTGCATTTAAAATGTTAAACACAAGACAAATTCCATTTGGCATGATCTGCAATCAAATTACTAAAACACAGGCAGCCCTACCTGCTTTTAAAACACATGCACACATTCAGAAACAATGATCCTTGTGTAATCAGTCTGACAATTTTCAGTCACTGTGGCACTAGGAAAGTGTTATGCATTTCAACACCTGGTTTGCCAGTGATTACGTTCGAGGCTGGGGATCCTGTACGAAGGTGAGATGGCACACTCACCATAAAGCGGCCAGTTGTTTATCCTCTGGTGTGGCATTGGGGCCTGAGTGGGTTTTTAGTCTCATAGCATACCTAGAAAGAAAAAGAAAAAAAGCAAAGAAATTTTAAAAAATGCTTTCTGATCAACGGCAGAACATTTTCTTTGATGGTACACGTAGTTCTGTCCGCTCAGTACTTAGTTTTTCATAGCGCTTGCTGATAATTCCTCCTTAAAAGCTAGCGGAGGCTGCTCCGTTTCCTCCAAGCTTTACATTAGGGTGATGACTAGACCAAAATGGCTTTTGTGATTGTCTGCCTAGCTACTTTCTGCTCTTTAACAATGCAAGTTCAAATGTTACAGATGGTCAGGAGTGATACCTGCTCAAGAACAGAAAAGAATCGTGTTCATTCTCCCCAAACTTTGATTTATGGCTGAGTGGCTGACAGATGGAGGCCAAGTTCAATCCTCTGGGTTCACCTTCCGAAGAATTTTCATTCCTGGTGCTCAGATGAATGTTTAGATTCATCCCTTTCGTTTGTTAGGTAACTCAGACTTTGTCAGCAGTGTAAGGGTTCTGTGTACATTTTAAATCTATATTTGGTTCTACAGACACATGTTAGGAGGAACTAGTGGCTTTTATGGACTGCACTTAATTTCATTTATTTCCCTAATCCAGGGGAAGTGAGGCCATGGCTTTCTCTCAATAACATATGAAGTTACACATGCGGACTCTTTGAGAGAGCTGAAGCAGTACGTATAATGCTCAGAGCGTCCCAGGTTTAAATCCCAGATCAGATGCTCATTAGCTGTGAGAACTTAGACAAGTATATCAATACCTGTAAGCCTCTACTTTTGTATTATAAAATACAGACTAATGTTACCAATCACATAACATTATTATGAGGATTAACCAAGATAGTGTTCATAAAGCTCTTGGCATAGCAGGCTGGTTCACTGAAATTGCTCAAGAAATGATTCTGTTGTCTCGGTGCCCGTAGCTCAGTGGTTAGGGCACTGGCCACATAACTCCTAGGCAGGGATGTCACGCGGGGTGGGCAATGCACAGATTTATGCAGCAAATACATTAATGCTATTTTCTAACTTAGATTACAATACAAAACAAAACAAAACCAAAACAAATCTCCTTTTGTTTTCTGGTTAGTTTAAGGGATTCTAATTATTCCGAACTATCTAGAAGACGGACTGTGTTCTCTACCATGCAAAGTGACTTGCACCAGTGGGCACAGTGAGTGTGGTATCCCAGGACTCCGAGGTGCATGTCACTGGTATCAGGCTTTTTTGTTGTTTGGGCTTTAAAAATGTAAATGACTTTAAGCAGGCCAGTTCACTGCAGGCCCTAGGCTTGCTTATTCATTCAACCCTCAAACTTTTATTGAGCACACACTATATGCCAGGAAGCACTGTTCTCGGGACTAGGGATATACCAGTGAACTAATCAGATCAAAACCAAAATGGTTTTATCCCTGTGCTCAAGACACTCACATTCCAGGGTGTCTTACTGTTTGGGGGCCCATCCAGTTGCATCCACTTCCTTCCCTGCCTCCTCAGAACAGGGAATGTGAGCATCAAGGATCTCTTAAGACGAAGTTAGCCAGTTTTTTAACTCTGTTTTCTTCCCTTCACTGCTGAAAATACTATACCATATAAAATGAGAGTACAGAGGAATCACCAACACACTGGCTTAGGAGAAATATTTAAGTAAGAAAAATGACAAAGTCGAGTTGACTTTCAAAACATTCTTGAGAAATGCTTTTTGGAGGCAATGTGTTCTCTGATGTCAGGATGGAAATTATATACTAAAGGAGAGTGGTGTAAAATGCCCAAGAACATCTCTGAGCCAGTGTAGACCTGAAAGACTATATCCTAAAACGACTATAAATCTGCCACGTGGAATGCTGGGATGTTGTAAAAATACCTAAGGTTAGATTACATAGTGTCTCATAATCAGAAAGCCATTTAAAATTAGTTTTAGGAACTAATTATTTATTTCACACAATGGGTATTAGATGTTATCCCAAGCAATTAAACTGGCTAGAAACACAAACCATACTATAAAGGTTTTTAGTAGGGTTAGTTGATAAAATTTCCTTAATCATTCATTAAGAAGATATTAATGGCTCGGTGCCTATAGCTCAGCAGCTAGGGCACTGACCACCTGGGTCTAGCGGGTTCAAATCTGGCCTAGCCCTGCCAAACGACAATGACAACTACAACAAAAAAAAAAAAGCCAGGGGTTGTGGCAGGCACCTGTAGTTCAGCTACTTGGGAGGGTGAGGCAAGAGAATTGCTTAAGCCCAAGAGTTGGAGGTTGCTGTGAGCTGTGATGCCATAATACTCTACTGATGGTGACACAGTGAGATTCTGTCTCAAAACAAAACAAAACAAAAGACATTGGGCAGTGTCTGTGGCTCAGTGAATAGGGTGCCGGCCCCATATACTGAGGGTGATGGGACTGAACCCGGCCCCTGGCCAAACTACAACAACAACAAAATTTGCCAGGTGTTGTGGTGGGCACCTATAGTCTCAGCTGCTTGGGGGGCTGAGGCAAGAAAATGGCCTAAGCCCAAGAGCTGGAGGTTGCTGTGAGCTGTGACACCAAGCACGCTACTAAGGGCAACAAAGTGAGACTCTATCTCTAAAAAAAAGAAAAAGACACTAATGAATGTGCCTTTCCAGGTGTCCAACGTGGAACACCAGGGTCTCCCACTGAGCCCTGCACATCTGCTCCTGCCATGTGTCACATCAGCTCAGGCTGGCGGACGGTGCTGGTGTCAGGGCTGTGCCCCAGACCAGTGGGGCAGAACACCCACAGATGGCTTCTCCTTTCAGAAAATCCCCCCGAGTCTGAATCTTCTTTTCTTTCATAAATACTCCTGAATCATTTGCTGATGGAGTTAAAGATTTAGATCATACTAACCTGAGCCAGATTTTTTTTTTTAAAGCATCTTATGAGGTAAAACGAGTTCAAAACCCTGCCACTTCCTAACTGGAGGACGCAGGCAGGTCTCAGCCACCCACTCGCCCTCAGCAATCTGGGGTCACAGGTGCCGGCCAGCTTCGCTCACAACCACAGCAGAGGAGGTGGAGTGTGCCGACAGGCCTCCCAAGATCTTAGGCTCTTATTTTTGGAGGATGAACGCTGGTTCTTGTTGGTGCTTGATGCTCTGTATTCTTAGTACTGACACATGCTCCTCCCCCTCCTCAACTCAGCAAGAGGGCACAGTGCTTACCTGATGAGTTCTACTGTTTCTGAATACATCGTATAAGGAGATTTGGATTCCATGGGGCCTTGTTCCATTGCATTTCCACACTCAATAAATGACAAAGCTGCTTCAGCGTAGTTCAAAGCCTTTCCAAACTTTTCCACCTGATCAACAGAATTAATACAGTATCTTCTTCAATAACATGTAATTAAATGACATAGTCACATTCCAGGGAGTTTATTAGAGAAACCCAAATTTTCACTTCCCAAATCCTGTGAATGAAGCTGGGAGAACAAAGACGTAGGGTACTTCCTGCTCTAGGTTTGGAGTGAGCAAACGTTACCTACAGAACTGTACCAAACCCACGTGACAACTGCCAATCCACGTTACGCAGAACTTCACGGCAGCTCTGATCTCCTAATTTCTGTTTCCCTCTTTCTAACCCTTAATGGTTTGGCAACTCAATTCCTGGTACTTGTGGGCTTTGCTAAGTATCCATCAAAGTTGATAGGTCTTGTTCCAGAGAAGAGTTTTTATACCTTTTTGGGTACATTCCCAATTTGGATGGTTCCAGGCTATGGTTATTAGGTTTTGTTTTGTTTTTTTTTTTTGCAGTTTTTGGCCGGGGCTGGGTTTGAACCCACCACCTCCAGCATATGGGGCCGGTGCCCTACGGTGGCCTTTGAGCCATAGGTGCTGTCCTATTTTTTACGGTATTTGTGACGTTTCCATCTCTATGCTTCCCTCTTCTCAATTGTTTTTCATTAATAGTCAGGACCTCACTTAAGAGTGAGGAGAGGAGAAGAGATAAAACCCAAATTACTATTTTGGCCTGGCCAAATGGGACACAAAGTTGAAAATCATAAAATTTTTTTTTTGAAATTATCTGCAGTTGTATAAGTTTCTGTTAGTTTTTCACCACACTGGCAAGGATAAGCATGCATGAATCAGCTTCATATTCCGAAATTCTTATAAATCTAAACTTACATATCAAGTTCCTGGTTCTAGACAAAGTCTACTATCTCTAGATAATTGCATGTTCTAACTTGGGACTGCGACATCTCCCCAATTTTCAAATGACTCCCTCATCCATCAAAACATAGAATGACACACATATTCTAAACACTATTCTAGGCCACTGAAAAAAGAAAACCAAACTTTGTTAGTAACGACACCTCAAACAACGGACATGTAGAACAAGATTCATTAGCAAATCAAAATTTTAAGCTACTTACAAACCTAACAGGCTACAAAGCACTATTTCTTGGCAACACTTTCAGATAAATGAAGTCATTTCATTTAGTAAGTATTTCCTAAAGCATCCTATTCTGTGGTATGTGCCCTTGACAAACAAAAGCTCCTTCCAGGAACATCTAATACATTTAGAGAGAGAAAACGTGCACCTCCGAGACAGTTCAGAGTGCAAGGCAGTGGTGATTAACCAACATAATGCAAAGCAAAGGGTCCAGAGCAAATGAGATGGTGGGAAGGGAGCAAAGGATGGGGCCACAGAGAGGCTGGGAGGCTGCAGGAAGGGGATCTGAAAATGATACTAGGAGGGAATGGGAGGTTTTTACCAGGTTTGAGGAGGATGCTGAGGGCGTGAGTGTGAAGCTCTGTAGGTGCAAAAACTCAGACGTGTGTTTAGAGGCCAGTGGGGGATCAGCCCAGCTGGAGCAGAGTTCTGTCTCTCGGGAAACCTCATCAGGAAAGGTAAGGTTGGGTAAGATAACAGTGAATGAATAAGGTTGTAAGCTTAGGTGATGGATTCAGGAAGAAAATCTCATTCTGCTTAAGAATTTGATGCTTTTCTCCAATAAGGCCACGCATCAGCTTCTTCAGATGACTAGAATTCCCCACCAGACTGTGAGACGGTGTGGACAAGAACTGTACCTCCCACTGCCCTGTTCTGTTTTCTGATACTAAGGGGTTATTGCCCCTGTCCCAGTGTTCCCAGGCAGTGGTCTTCATACAAATAAATGTGTAATGGGCACCGTCGGTAGCACTGGAACCTCTTCCAGTACTCTTGTTGTTTAAACATCTCAGATTTTCTCAAAGTCATTTGAAATGCCTTATCCCTTTCCAGCACCTGACTCATCTCAGGTAGCAACACTGGAGGGAAGAGAAATGAATTACTAGGTAGGCAGGAACACCTCTGGATGAGATCTTAAGATGGAAGAACCGTAGTAGGATCTCTTTTAGAAAAAAAAAAAACAGAAGTTTTATATCTCTTGCTAGAGACCTTCAAGCTTTCCAAAACACTGGACTATCCAAGCAAGAAAAGGTATTCTTTGAAAACATCAAATCACGGTGACTTTAGAGTCCCATGTGCAGATAACAGTTTCTGTATTGTACAGTTTCAGAAAAAAGCATTTATTTGGCAGATATATAGGAAAAACACAAGTGTTTTTGGAAAGAGATTTGATCCTGGGACCAAGCCAAAGGATGGCTAGGCTAACAAGAGAGAAAAATGGAAATCTATATTTTTTTTGAAAAGAAAAAAAATAGTATTAGCCACTGAATCCACTGGCTTTAGTTACTATTCAAACCTTAGGACTAAACTGAAATATTCATTTATCCAGGGCTTTCTCTTGGTCAGACATTATTGGTTGAAGTCATAATTTATTGGGCTATGAACACTTGATTATATAAACATTTCTCCATCCCTGTAATAGATTTTATAATTACCCTAGCTATATTGCCCCAGTGATGAAGCTGCAGTACAAACATAATTTGGAAGAATGTGTCTGGAAAGAAAAGGGTCTTACCATTGCATCTGCTTTATGCTTCATCCGTTTAGCTTCTTGCATAAAATAATCTGCGCTGCGAGGCCTACAAGGAGAGGATGAGCTTACATGTCATTATTGTGGACGTTCATGGTCTTTTGAAAACACTGTTTTCACTTAAAGTGAAATTTAAAAACTCTGCTGAGTATGGGATTAAGTATTTTTTTTAACCTTTCCAAATATCTGCGTATAGGTAAAATACTGCAATTATTTTTCTCTGGAGTTAGCAGTTCTAAATACACTCTCTAGATGCCAGTGTCCTCACTTACGGTGGCTTTTACACGGTCTCCTGGTGCCTAATTTGTGAGACGTATTTTTTACTGGATGATTAAGAAAACAAGTCAAAAATTCTCATTTTATACAATATTTATATAAAACAATCCCATTTTAAGGTAAAGACTGTAAACATATCTCATAAGAATTGCATAGGTATGTATGGGTGAGTATATTTATGTATCCTTATGTAAATCAGTGTCATTTATAGGTGTTTGCAGTACCTAGTGTTGTATATCTATGTGTTAAATTATTTTAAAGCCTCACAGCAAAAATAGAAAAAAGTAATGTATGATTACATTCCAGTTATAATGACGTTAACTGAAAAATGATGTCTACCTTGTAACAATGCAAACATGGCATGCATTCTCTGGAGTTTTGATTAGGTAGATGGTAAACATTAACAGCAGACGTGTGCATTATTAAAGCAATAACCCCGGCCACTGCTGACTCTGCTGGGAGATGAAGGTAATCCACCCAGAGACTGATCTGAGCGGATAATGACCCCAAGTTACACTTTGCTACTCCTCAGACAATGCCTTTAAAGTCTCATAGATTTTTTTTTTAATTCCATACAAACTTTTTGTAAAACTAAACCTTACCTATTCATAAATATCAAATGTATGCCAGGACTTCCTGAATGGGGGCTACCATTAAGTAGTGACATTACTTATGGATTGTTTAACCTATCGTTACGTGCTTATTCTGAACTGCCTGATTTCAGATTCTAATGAATCTTTTACCTTACTCTGCTCTAATGGTAGGTAGTCAGAGCATCCCTTTCTCCAAACAGGTCAAAACACTTAGGAAAATAATGTATACTGTGACAATGACATTATGTTTTAGTTAATTAGTCATGCAAACAAACAAACAGACCAGAATCACAGCAAATAATTTCAGGTCAAACATCACTGATGTTAGGAAGGGACCTGGTTTTCTGTCTCTTACTTCTTTATAGAATGTTGTTAATACTGCCCTGACTACTTAACTTCTCCAATAAAGAACCGGAACAGAGCCGCAGGCTGCCCTGATGAGCAGGGTGGACCGCTCTGCCTCTGGCTTCACTGCCCTTCACTTTCCTTCCCCTCACTCAGGCCTGACACCTGCTGTTCATCTTGGTGGCTCTACCCCTGGGGTGTGGGGGGCATGGGGAGTGAGCCAGCAATCTCCTTCATGGGAAGGCCCTGCTCCTCCCAGCCTACTTTGTTTCTTTTCTTTTCTTTTTAACCCACTCCGCAGTTGGTGGACCAGCTTTGCTTTCTCTAGTTGGTATCCTCGATGCCCAAACTTCTTCCACTTGGAGAGGTTTTTACCTGCCTTTACAGGGTGGTTTTTCCTTCTTTGCTCACATATTGACTATCTATTTGGTCTTTGATTCCATTTCTGGCAATTTACATTATTTTTGTTGTTCCTGCTTGTTTCAATAGTTTCTTTCTTAGAGCAGTTTCAGGTTTGTGGGCATAATGAACAGAAAGAACAGAGTTCCCATACACCTTCCTCTGCCACCAAAGCCTCCCCTGAAGCAGAGGGCGCATTTGATACAATCAAAGGACCTACGATGACACACCTTTATTACCCAAGTCCAGAGCTCATTCTTGGGGTTGGACATGGACCCACCATTATAATGTTATACAGAATTGTTTCACTGCCCTAAAATCCTCTGCATTATTTCGTTTGTCCTTTTGCTTCATATGCTAAACATGGAAGGCCAGACCCCACCTCAAGCCCAAGCTCAGATCTGACAAATCTGGGCTTCAGATAGGTCCTGGAGCCTATTTATTCTGGAGAAGAGTTCAGGAGTCTTCCTGCACCTCTGCTCCTGTTACCAAATGCTATGAATGCTTCTTTGTAGACACGCCTCATTTCCCCCAATGACCATGTTTACCACGGGAGCCTGGGCTCTTCTCACTTCTCTGGTTCCTCGGCCTCTCGTCTGACTCCCCTCCAATCTGTCCTGAGTGTTACCTTTTGGCCAGTGTTTGTAAAACACGCCTTTCATTACATCATCATCTTTCTCACAGACCTAAAATCAACCTCCAGGGCCTATGTGATCAATCTCAGTTCAGGTCCCCAGTAGTCTTGCCTAAATTCTGTTAACCACATCAGTTATTTACCAAGGCCCTCGACCAAAGTCAGGAGTGGTTTCCTTAATGTCTTGGTAACACATCCTAGAAGTTCTGTTCATCCATGCCCCATCTAGAACACTCTTCCCTCTGCTCATTCACTGAGGGCACAGTATGAGCCAACGTTACCACCCCTCAAGTTCTACTGCCATTATGCCTTCCAGGTGGCTTCGGTCCACACTCATCTCTGTCCTTCCTGATTGAGCACAGCGCTTCCTGTTTACACTGCATTTCTGGCTGAGCAGTTACCTTCTGAGCTGTGTACTGGGCTGTAGTTACTGCATGTGAAACCCAGTTTCAGCAGGGACTGTGTTGTGTATCTCTTTGATCTTCCCTACCCGGTAGTTATAGGTACATGGTAGAAAGTGAGTAAGTCCCTCTTGAATGGCACTAAATTCATTTTGAGCTTAGAAAGGAGTGGTGGCGCCTTCTGATGGGTACAGCATCGTAGCCAATGAGCCAGGGAGTGTCTCCATGGCAACCAGAAATTATCCACCTCATTATCTGCACCACACTCTAGTATCAAAGTTTGGTCATTGTTTTCTTGCCCTGTTTTGTAGACCTTGTCACTAACAGATCATCATTTCAAATGCATCTCCTTCATTTTCATTACAGGATTCCTTTGGTGATAAGTGACGGCTTCTTAGTTTTCACCAGGCTTCTGGGTAACTCTTACAGATGGCAGTGGCTCATAATTCCTAATATGGGATCCTTAATCAATGCTGTTTTTACTGGCAGCATACCAACCTGTTTTTTCAATGTGATACAAAGGCTGAGTCACCAACTCTCACAATAGCACATGTGGATAAGTAACACACCTAATTTTCTGACTATTTCACAGCAACTACAATAGTAACCTGAGAAGCTCATAGAAAATGTACCATCTGGAGGCCATTTATGAACACATTTGTTAGAGTTCTCATCTTTGCATATAATGGAGGACGATACTGAGTCACCGCAGATCGCCTGAGGATTTGCCCATTTTCTCCTTTCAGGTGATTTCCAGAGCCAGGCTTCCGGATCACAGCATTGTAAAGCCACCGGGCCCACCAGGACCTCACCCAGAGTGTCCAGCTTTGTCGTGAATGCACACTAGCACAAAGGCATCCCTTCTGCCAGCAATATATAAGTCAGTAGGAAAAGCAAAATTGCTGTCTCCCCTGTGCAGTTACAGAATATAATATAGCAAAGGTACAAAATGAAATCAGATTATCTCAATGTTCAAACAGGTTTTTCATCTAATCTTCTGCTGTTTTATATGGAAAATCTAGAGTTTTTGTTTTCATTTATGTAATAAAATTTTTTACTTTGTTTCTGACAGTGATAGCATTTTGTGAGGATACATGAGCAAACCTACTAAGAGGTCAATTAAACATCCTAAGTGTAACTAACTGTGTGTCTCGGGTCTTTCAAAAATGGGACTGGAGTGATCTTAAAAATCAGAGCTCAGCCACATGCATCAAAGCAACAAAAGCGGTCTGAGTACTTGATCCAAATACAACATTTTCTTTTCTTCTCTTCATCCTCCCACCACCCCCACCTACAAACACATGGCCCTGGTTCTAAGCAGTAACAGGGCGAGAGTGACCCCAATATTTCTTCTGGCAGAGGAATATTAAAGCAACCCTGTTTTTTGTTCTCCTGCGTGGCCGAGACAGAGTTGAATGGCCCCCCACAGAGAGGCTGGCAGACCCCTTTCTGTAATTCCTCCCTCTGCGAAATGCAGGCCTTCAGCAGAGCCAGCCTGTTTTGTGAAAACTGGCAGGGATGAGAGCTCAATGTGTTTGAACAAACAGGTTCTTCGGCACAGCAGAAATTGGATCATTTTCTCAGGGAAGTTGAAGTCCAAATCTGACAGATAGGCAACTGCATACCAAATGAATCCATCATCTGCTATCCGGTATGTCAGCTTGTCACTTGATAAGCCCCAGAGGTGTTACTGTGTCCCAGGCTTTGAGGTACCTTCTCCAAAAGGAAAAAAAAACACATACGAAATTAAGTAATTATTTTTAATATGCAGAGTTAAGTGATCACTACTGATGGTGGGAGCACATGGAGTGGGAGTAAGACGCAGGCGGTCAGGCGAGGGCCGACAGGTCGCAGCTGGTCTGGCCGGTGTAGCTCCCGCCTGACCTTCACCTCCTGTCTTCTACTCTTGGTTTGTAAATTTAGCTTCAACCCAACAGAGGAGTTTAGGATGATTGAGTTCGGAGATTAACTTTTGAATTGGAAATGTTATAATAGGTCAAGGGTTATGCTGATTATTGTTTATTATTTATTGTTTAAGATAAGTGTTAATATGGATTTTGCTTTAAATTTTTATATATAAAACTATGGTTTTCAAAATGGAAGGGAAGAACAGTCTTGGAGAGGCCACCCCACCGTTCTCCAGAAGTGCTGGAGAATTCTGATAATAAAGCTTGTTGGTCCCAATCCCCGTCTCTGTCTTTGGCTTACAGTGACAGGAGGCCAGCCCCTTTTGGTCCAGTAACAAGGGGGGTATACTTCAGAGCCAGAGACTCTGGGATGCTGGTGGTGGCTTTATGGGAACTTTCCCACAGAAGCAGGCAGACTGCACTCACACAGCAAGGATTCAAGTGCAGCTTCTACATCCACAGCCTTGATGTTGGCTGGGACCTGGAGTCTCTCAACACGGCTTTTAGAAGCCCAAGGGATCATTTATTATTTCTTACAGGCCATAATACTCCTGCACAGAGTTGCTTCCTTCCTGGCCACACACAGAAAGCAGCGTGTGCTCTGTGGGACACACAGGCTACACAAGGCAGGTTTTGTTATTCGATCAAAAGCACTTTTCTGTTGAAATGAAAAATTATCAATCTGATGGCCGTCCTTCTCTGGGTGTGACATTTAAAATAAAATAATTTCACAAAACTCTAAAAATGATCAGAGATATCAGCCTGGGAGATCTACATGCCCTTTAAATCTCCCCCATCCCCGAGCCCCATCAAAGCCTACTCCCTGTTCTTTCTCTCTTTTTGTTTTGATTAGAACAGCATAAGGATCTGGCCTTGAGACAGAGAATTCATAACAGGAAAAATTCCATATGAAAAATAATAAAGGCTTACTAATGGTTTATCAGGAAAACACAAAGGTGGGAGCTGGCTTTGAAGGGGAAGGGGAGACCCTCAGGAGAACAATGCCTACTGTAGTCCCAGGGCATGCACCTGGGGTCCTCCCACTATGCCACGCTGCCAAATATCCAGGCTTTTACCCATGGAATCCTCCTGTCCTCTATGAAATTAAAATCCTTTTAGCTAGGAGACTGCTGTGCATAATTACATTACAAATGTCAAGTCCCTCTTCCTTCCTCCCAGACACACTTCATGTGCCTCGGCCTTCAGTGACTCACGGCTGAGGGAGTCCGTAATGTTGGGAGGTTTAGGTAGCTGGGTTCCTGTTATTGGCGCCATGGGGACAGATGGGACATTTGGTGGTTTGGCTGATCGTGACTGACTATTCCGTGTGAAATATGGGCAAGAGACAGCACGTCCTCCAGGGAGCAGCCGGCAGCTCTGGCACCGGGTTCTGCTGGCTTCTCAACACACGACGCGGCTGGCGGGAACAAGGAGCTTGATTTTGCAGCCAAGCATTTCCCCACTAAGCTCTGCTCAGGACTTCTGTACTGAGGCCTTCGTGACACAGTTGTTCTCTCTCAATTTTCCCTGGCCAAGAATTCCCCTGTCACTAATTATGACACCAAGTAATTTAAAGTTCATGGCTTTGCACTAATAAGATCAGTTTCTAGGCTTCCAGTTGAATTAAGTGCTGTCACTCATTGACATAAATGCCTACAGATTTTTTTTTTTTAATAAAAGTTTGGTAATCACACCAGTGTCACCTTAATACTGTGGCTGTCAAGTAGTGAATGTTGTGCATTTGCTAAATGTCAGGGGAGGAGGTGAAGTCACACTGCTGCCAATCTGAGCCTGCAACTTACAAAGAACACACTGACCTGGACCACGTTTTAAAAGTAAGTGTCATTTCCTTCAATTCTATCTGTATCCCAAAGGGACTAACTGGTGCCTATTTAATTGGTAAGGAAAAGGGGCTTGCAAGCCCATGAATTTATATTTACCTGCATGTAGATTCCTTATATTCATAAAAAAAGAAAGGAACGATGCAGGCACCCCCTGGGAATGTTATTTATCGTTCAGCTGGGTTCATTCAGCACTTGTTATTGAGAGCCCACTGGATTCGGCTGTTGTCTGAATCGTATGTTTATTCAACCATTAACAAGTATTTATAATACAAAAAGATGAGTTTACTTTTTTAAAAAAGCTACACGATGCGGCTTTAAAAATTAAATGACAGCGTGGCATCTGTTACTTTTTGGATCACTATAAATGGATTTCCATCAACTCCAAATTACTCTGGTGCTAATTATCTAGTCCTCTCTTTTCTTCCACTGGTGGCCTCTCTTTTGGTCATTTCACTGCTTGTTGACACCCTCAGTGAAATCAAGGAAAGTGACAAGGGCTGAGATTCTCTTGTCAGTGAGGTTGCTGGTGGAGGAGCTGGCACAGAATGGAGGGGGAGGAGGGGGAAAAGGACAAGAAGGGTGCGGAGGAGGGAGAAAGACGATGGGGAAAACAGGAGGAGGAAGAAGGAAGGCGGAGAGAGGACGTGAAGATTGAGGTTTAATGACCACTCATGGGCCTCCCTCTACCCTGAAGACCTGAGAATTCATTAATCACCGTATCTTACCCCTGCTCCTATCCTTGGCACTTAGTTACTGCTCCGTACATATCAACTGAAATTGGGAGACATTTTGCACAATTTTAGGTGATATTTTAGTCCAGTGATCTCTTGAGGGTCACTTATTTTTAATATAAGAGACAAAGCTTATTTTTAATTCCCAAGTTTCAAGACTCTTTCCACAACTTTTTTAGTTCCATAGCTGAGTGGCTATTTGAGTTACATGTTTATTTTACTGTTCTGGTTGCGAATCAGTTGGGACACCTGGCAACTGGAATGTGACATATATCTCTCCACGTGACAGATACGTCAGAGTGCCTTTTTATTCTCTCACATCTCTATCCATAAAAGGAAAAACAGTTTTATTGTAGCTTTCAGCCAGAAAAATCACGCATATTGCTCATGGAGAGTAGCCTCCTCATTTATACAGATAGTGACAAAATATTAGCCTCAGCCCTAGCAGACTGAGAAACAGTTCCTCTCACAAATAATCCCACGACCTGAGATCAAAGTAGGATCATTTAGTTGTTGCCATTTCTGATTTAGCTTTCTGATCCATACTTTCTGATCTTTGTTTTATTTTCCATAGATGTTTGTTATCTATCTATGTATCCATCTATTAATCTATCTCTAAAATACTCGCAACCCCCCCCCCCACCGAAGTGTTTGGTGTTCTGAGCACCTCAGTGTCTAATGCTCTTGTTTGATCATGTTGATAGGAATTCTAAATGCAAATTTCCATGTTATCCTTATATACGAGTCTAATTTCCTGTTTTTACAAATGATTAAAGTTCACACAAACAATTTCTATCACTGAGCCCTAATTATAAATGTAGTTGGCCAACTGATTACACACCCATACATGCCTTAATTACTACCTCCCTGGCTGTTTAGCAAGGGCAGTGGCAAAGTGGGGCGGGGAGGTGGGGAGGAGAGTTGGGGAGGGCCAGGAGTCTGTGTGCAGCGTCAGGAGCAGCTGTAGCCATGAGGAGAGGAGAAAAACACATGTCCTCCTGGGCTGTTCTTAAACTTTCCTAAATCCAATTATTTTGGAGTGTGCTCATTAAACAAAACAAACAAATATGGATTGGCTTTTAACCCCCAAATTCTGTGTCCTAATTAGCTTATCAAAATCCAAGTAACATGCAAAGACTACAACTTAGTGTTCTCATTTCCCAGGGAAGCCTACAGAGTTAAATAAATAGACCTGTCTATGCTCTGGGTGAAGGTCAGGGATGGAGAAGCTGATGAAGGCAGGTAAGGCTGCATAGTGACCAGTCCCGGACAGTGCTTTATGTTCTGCAGGTGATGTCCCTGAGATGTCATCTAACTGGATTTTAGAGCTCTCCTCCCCCCAGAGGGAGTGGTGGCATCTGTCACTGCTATCACTTTTTGGGGAGACATTTAGAGCCATTTCATTTTCTGACTCTTAGTCGGGTCAGTGGTTTGTAGTCGGTCAGTCCCCTCAGTTGGACTGTCTGCCACCAGAGGGCAGGAGCTCCCATTTTCACAAGCTGCTCTACCGCAGGACTGAATTCTTCCTGCTTCATGCAGACATATATTTGACGTTTATTGGACAGCTGAAGTTGAAAACAGGATTCAAGCTGAACTCTTGAAACCATATCTTCTGCCTTCCAGGCTTGTCCTGGACACATATTTTTTCCCCCTAAGAGCCTAAATAATTTTCAGCATCATTTATCATTTCTCATTTGTCATTTTCAGTTTCTCAAGAGCATTCAGGATGTTATTTTTATTCATCTTCTTCTCTTGTTTCTCCTCCATTTGAAACTGATGTTGGAGATGGAACTTATACTTGAGTATCAGGGCTAGAATAGGTTGAAGGATGACAGGATACTTTTTTCCCATATGATAGCCATTGATACTATTATAAAGAATATATAGCATTTTGAAGGAACAAAAGCTTTCAGGAGTAAATAACTCTTATTCTTTGCCTATTATGATTTATAAAAACAAAAATGGTTCTCTTTCTGGTAGCACAAAACTGCTAACAGTGTACAATATAGGTGTGTAGATGTGTCAGACGCGTTAATGCTATTTGCCTTTGCTTTCTGACATTCTTTTTTTTTTTTTTT